ACTCTTTCTTCATAACTTAAAGGAAATATATTGAATGGTTCTCAAGTATAATGTTTGCTCTTATCAAGTTATAAGCTAACATCTAGTAAGAAAATCTAACAATGAAATTTAAAAAGAAATTCCTATGTTTATTACATTAACTAAATTTGTTAATGCTTTCTTACCCTCCTGTAGTCATCTGTTTACCAAAACTCCACCCTTGTCCCCAAAAGACCTTTCAGAGGAAAAGTACTTAAATGCTGAACAATTATGATTCTCCCTTCCTACATCTATGACTTGAAACTCTGGCTAATCAAAATTATGACTATCAAGGTCCTGAGGATGAAATTTTTTGATTGCTTAATCTTCTAATTTGTTTTAGAAAAACTTAAGGTTTTAGATTTTATATTATAGATAAAAAGAGGAAAAATTACTTTAGGCAAATGCCCAAAGGATTACCTCTCTTATTTTAATTTTAAAAAATATTTAATATCAAATGTTTGCAAAATTTTATAATTTCTAAAGTTCTGTATCCATACATTTGATTGAACTATAAACAGAGATTATGCTCATTTTATATGTTTTTAAGGCATTACAGGAAAGAAAACGGAAAATTTTAGATGAAGCTGTGGAATTAAGTCAGGATCACTTTAAAAAATACCTAGTAAAACTGAAGTCAATCAATCCACCTTGTGTGCCTTTTTTTGGTAAGTTACTAAAGATGGATATTGTATTTTGAGGTAAGTTGTGTTATAGTCCAAAGAGGCCAGTCTTTAGAGGTCAGTTGTTCATATTTTATATTACCTTGTCTATTTTCATCTGTATTGATAAATAAAACTTAAAACTCTATTATTTATTTGCCTGTAAAATGCAGGTTATAATAATTACCTCATGGAGTTGTAAGAATTAAAAATATTTTATCTATACGACCTAATACAAATTCTATCAGAACAGGCACTCAGAGAGTGGTAACTTTTGTTTTTATCTATTTATGTCATATCTACAGTGTTCGTTTTCTCTTTATTAAAGGCTTTTAAGTGATTTGTTAAAACTCAGAATTGGAACAACTTTGAACAAAT